GGTACCCTAAGAAAAAATCGAAGAGGAAATTTAGTAGAAAAAAAAACTAAATCTCCAAAAAACTAAAACGTGGAGAACTCATTGCTCGCGAAAATAAATCAGGTATACCGATATTAAAATGGAAAGATAAGAGACGTATTGATGCTTTCAACGAAACATTTGGCAGAAATAACTACTGTACATAAGAAATTCTATTCGTGTGAAAAACCAAAAATGGTTGTGGAATACAATCTAGGAAAATCATCAGTCGATTTATCGGACCAAATGATAGCGTATAGTTCACCACTATGTAAAACTTTAAAGTGGTATAAAAAAATTAGCAATAGAACTGTTATTGAATACATGTATGGTAAATGCAATGGTATTATTCAAGCAGGTAACACGCAAAAATATTCAAATTCCCGATTTCAGAATGAAAGTCGCAATGTATTTAACAAAATGTCGTGATCATGAAGTTGAGGTTTGCATTTCTCCACGTAAAAGCTCGCTGAGAAAACCACGTCATGAATTAAAAGCAATGCCGGGAAAAGCTCGAACGGTGCGACGATTTTGCAAAATGTGTTATCAAAATAATTCAAAGAAGCTAGGAAGGATAATTGCAAAAAACTGTAGTAAAAAAGTCGTGACATATTGTGAAGATTGTGCTGGTTCACTTTCTTTGTTTGGAATGCTTCAATACGACACATCGTATTGTGTGCGCATAATAAATCTATATTTCATGTATAAATAAAACTATTTTTAGATGTTTTATACTGCAATCATTTCTTCACACCACTGCGTTAACGATGGTAATAATAAAAATTTCTAAATATTGACATTTGTTTAAATTATATATATTTCTATCAATCTGGGCGCGCCAGTCACCGGTGGCCCCCGTGGCGCCACTGCCAAGTTGAGTGCCGGTCACCGGTGACCCTCGTGGCATTCAACGTGTTAATAATTCCAAATGATTTCCCGTTAATTGAGGAAGGCATAATTGGCTTACCATTTCTAAAGAAATACAGGTTTTCAATTGACAATCAAAACTTAAAACTAAACGATAATGTACTTTCGTTACAGAAATCACCAACCTCAATTGAAGTACGGCCAGAACAGTGTGTGAAGACTTATCTCCCTTATCTCTCTCACTGCTGACTCAAATCCAGCTGATGAATCACCTACCCCACCTTTACGCGAATTTGTCACGTAGACCATCTCTGTATAAATAACCGGCAGACACCCAATAAAGCAGCCTAACTTTTACCAGCACAGAATACAGATCTCTATTCTCCCAGTAACGAATCGACTACGGTAGAACTCTTCTAGATTGATTTCGTCTGTTCCTATTGGGAATATCCAATTAATAATTGATTCTCTTTCCGTGCGAATAAAGGGAACTAGTTATTAAAACTATGCCGTCCGGTGACACCATGTTGATGCCATGCGAAAACTACCGGGCAAGCGCCGGTGGCACCACGTTGATGCACTGCACAAAACAACTGAGCGCCGGTGGCAGCACTATGGGCCGTGTTCAAAGCTAATATTGCGTGTGTTCTGTTTAAGTAACAATAAATTACAGACATAGCAAGTTTTTTGTTTTCATAAAAACTTGTGCATTTTCATAGCGAACATAAAAGAAGAGTTTAAAAAGGGACAAGAGGGGGGGGGGGAAGTTTTGGACACTCTCATACGCAGACGACATAGTCCTACTGGCAAATGAAGAAAAAGAGATGAAAGAAATGATGAAGAGGCTGGAGAAATATTAAGACAGGAAAGAACTGGTACTAAATGAGAGCAAGTCTAAGATGATGGTATTTGGGAAAGGAGGGAGAAGGAAAAAGAAAGAGACATGGAATTGGAAAGGAAAGACAATAGAACAGGTTGTACCTGGGAATCACGCTAGATAGTCGCCTGAATTTCGAGGCGCACTTCAAACAGCTGATTCCCAAAGTAGAGGGTGTAGCGATGCACCTTGGAAGGCTTTTTCCAAACGTCAGCGGCCCAGGAGTAAAGGCAAAAAGGCTATTCACGGAAGTGACAAAATCAATGATCCTGTACGGGGGCGCCCATCTGGGCAAACTACATCACTGTCGCCAGCGACAAAGCCCTGCGCAGGATTCAAAGAAAAATAATAGCTACCCGCATCATCAGGGCGTACCGCACCATATCTCATGACGTCGCTGTCACCCTCGCAGGAATGATGCCTTTCAGAATACAGGCAAAATTTGAAGCAAACACCTTCGAGCAAGTTCGCGCTGCAAAAGCGAACGGGGCGACAGTTACAAAGATGCGGATGCGCAGAAACGCCATGCAACCTGCACGAAGGGCGTGGATACGGGGATTGGAGAATGGCGGAACGGCGAGACCGGTCATTAGAGCAATCGCTCCACACTAGGCGCAATGGGCGACACATGGGACGGGAAAACTCACATATAGAACGACGCAGGTGATAACCGGACACGGATGCTTCGGTGTCTACCTGCGGCGAATAGGCGCCGAAACGACAGCGGCATGTAAACTGTGTGGAGCTGACGCTGACACAGCTCAACACAGTTGAAGAATGCCCGTCTTTCAGTCAGCAGAGAAGAAGGCTGAAAGATGCGATAGGTCCAGACATCTCGCTGAGCGCAATTATAGACGCTCTGACGAGAAGCAGGAGTGAGGAAATTGCCGTCTCGCAATTTTGCAAAGAGATAATCAAGGCAAAAGAAGCGAAACAGAGAAGTCGGGAGAAGGAATATCTCAAGAAAAATGACGACGACCAAGTGCTAGACGCCGCGGGAGGAACTCTACAGGATAAAGGAGATAAAGGAGAGCCCAGCGATCGCGAAGTACCTGTAATTCCCTTGAGTTACAATTATCCCGACGAATGATGAGGCAACAAAAGAAAAGATGCGAAGAATGGAAAAAGGAATACCTAACGCCAAGAAAACTAGAAGACATGGTGCGGCAGTGGTAGCTGATACCGCGTAAATAAATCAAAGAAAAGGAAAGAAACAACAGAACAGAAGCCGCAAGGCAGATGGAAAGAGGCAGCGGAGAATATTTCGGTTTTGCAGCCTCAAATCAGTACACGATGCAGGCCACCGTTTTAGTCGGTAGGAATCCGACACTACCCAGTAACATGGGCTGGATGTCTTATGCATAATTTTCCACAATATATATATATATATATATATATATATATTAAAAAAAAAAAAAAAAAAACCTCGTGAAGAGGCCATGATACCAAATACGCCAGACAACGACAAGATCGTGCTCGACATTATCGGACCATTTCCTATCACGAAACACGGAAACCAATTTATCCTCTCAATCGAAGACCAATTGACCAAATACCTCCTACTTATACCACTGAACAACCAAAAAGCACAAACTATCATTGATAAATTAATAAATTAATCACTACATTTACATATTCTCATCCCCAAAACATATCTTAACCGATCAAGGACAAAATTTTGTATGCAAGTTGATGGAATCATTCGAAAAAGCATTCAAAATTAGGCACGTGAAAACCACTAGCTTCCACCCACAAAGCAATGACAGTCTGGAACAAACGCATAGAGGTGGAGTAATGGTCTGGGCTGGTGTCGAATATAAAGAAAAAACAGATATTAAATTTATTCAGGGCACAATGAATAGCGTCCGTTATCTTCAAATAATAAAAAAACAAATTTATGCATATGCAGAACGCATTGCTGTTACACCATAAATATTCCAACAAGATAATGCTGGAGCATACTGCCAAAATTGTGTAAAGGATTCCCAGATGATTGAAGAAAGGCAGTAGTGACACAAAAAATGAGACCCGGCAAAACCAGAAAACTATAGAGGAATAAGTCAGCACCGCATATAAGATATACGCGACAGTGCTGAACGAGAGATTACGAAGTCAGTTGGAAGCAGAGAGAATTCTGCCGGAATCGCAGGCGAGTGTCCGAAAAGACAGAGGCACGATAGAGAATGCATATATCCTGTACTAGAGAAGGAAATGCAAAAGCGGAGAGGAAAGGTACATGCAATGTTTGTCGACCTGAAAGCGACATTCGACACAGTAAAGCGAGACAAACTGCAAAATAGGGAAAGGCCTAATAGAGAGGATAAAGGAAGTGTACGAAGAAGCAAGGAATGTAGTAAGAGAAGAAAAGAAAGAATCAGAAGAGTTCTGGACAGAAATCGGACTGAGACAAGGTTGCCCGCTCAGTCCGACTTTGTTTACAATATATAGCCGGAAATGGAAAAAGAACTGGGCAAGAGTCAAATAGGGGGAGGGGTCGCGGTAGGAAAGTACAGATTTTACTCCCTAGCGTACGCGGATGATATAGTTGTAATGGCAACTAGCGATGAGGAGCTCAGAAGGTCAATGAAGATATTAGAAAGGATCTAGACAAAAAGGATTTAACACTGAATGTAAAAAAATCAAAAATAATGATATTCGGGAAAGGAAGAAGCAGAAGGCAGAAACAGGAATGGAAATGGAAAAGGGGAAGAGCTAGAGATGGTCAAAGAGTTTAACTACCTAGGGATAGTATTCCAAAGAAATGGGAACATGACAAGACATTGTAAAGAAGCCTTTGCAAAGCTACCTTCTTATTTTTTGCTGACTCGTATCCAGCTCCCCTCAGGGGCTGCAGGCGGATTGTTCTTCCTACAGTACGGGATTAGCGGCCCCAACGTGCTCGAGCTTTCATCATACCGTAGGCCTATGATCATGTCTCGCAGAAGCGGGGGTCTTGCCTTAATCGTTTTTAGCCAAACGTTTAATTATAGATGACGATAGTAAAGAGGAAAACTCAACATCTAAATCATGTGTATCATGGATTTGGCAGGAAGCGAAAAACACACCAATCATTTGGAAATATTCTGAGATTCCTGGCATCAAAGCATCTGTTCCAAATCATTTAAGTGAACACCCAGGATTATTAGAACTATTTTCTATTATATTTCATGACAAATTTTGGAAAATATTTGATACCGAAACAAATCTCTTCGCACGTCAGACAATAGACAAAGCGGAAAAAACGGAAAGTGGACGATACTTGGTTCCCTGTTACTTTCGATGAAATGAAGGCATACTATGCACTGTGTATTCTAATGGCTCAAGTCAGAAAACCAAATATCCAAATGTCTTGGTCTAAAAGACCACTAATAGAAACGCCAATATTTAGAAAAGTAATGCTTTTTAAAAGATTTAAACAAATTTCGAAAGTCTTACATTTTTGCAATAATGAAACTGCCGACAGGAATGACCAGCTTCGAAAGATAAGACCTATCATCAACCTTTGGAATGAGAAATTTAAAGAAATTTACACATCGGATAAATATGTCAGTATAAACGAATCTTTAATGAAATATAAAGGACGTTTATCATATAAACAATTTAATCCATCGAAAAGAGCGAATTTGGAATAAAAATTTACAAATTATGTGAGGCAAGTACCGGTTTTTGTTGCGATTTCAAAATATATATTGGCCAGGACAAAATTGATCGAAATTCTAGTGCGTCAGAGAATGTTGTCATGGACTTGTCGAAATCCATACTGAATAAGGGATATACTTTATTTCTTGATAACTGGTACTCCACCCCCAACCTCTTTTTAAAATTATAAAACAAATGTTATCGGGACAGTACGCAACAATAGGCAAAATATGTCAAAAAATATTCAAACAAAAATTTTAGAGAAAGGAGAATGTTTATGAAGAAGTTGTAATAATTTGTTGGCTCTGAGATGGAAGGATAAGCGTGACGTGTATATGATCTCAACAAAACACGAAAGTGTAGAGATGGTTGAATACATAGACAAACAGTTTAAAAAAAACAATGAAGCCCAAATGCATCCTGGAATACAATAAGGGAATGGGTGGACTCAATCACCAAGAACAAACATTGGCCTGTTTTCCAATTATGAGAAAAGTCATCAAAGGATACCGAAAACTTTTTTTCTATATGTCGGATATAGCCTTGTTCAATACGTATATTATTCATAAAACAATACACAGGCCAAGAAAGGAAACATATGTGGATTACTGATTAAAAATAGCGGAGCTAATTTTAAAAAATGTTCAATTACCGGACTACGAAAAGCATGGAAAACCTTCACTAGGTGAAACACCTCTTCGACTCCAAGCAGGATATTGGGATTTTCCAAAACATATCGATCCGACGCCTAAAAAAAAGAACCCAACAAGGATGTGCAAAGTTTGTTCTAAACACAACGTGCAAAGCGAAACGACGTGAAAATGCACGGAGTGTAAAGTGGCTTTACATTTATCACAATGCTTTCAAAGTACCATACCATGCCGGAATACTACTAATTTTTAAAGTTGTTAGTATTTTCCTATTAGATATTCGTTCAAGGGGAGCATTTCTTCTTGTAATTAAATTTTTTGTTGACTATATTTACTTTTAGGCGTCGCGTTATTACATTCCTTCTGAAGAAGTCACACCTAAAGACGCCCAAGAAGATTATAATTTCTATTAAAGCACTGTTCGTGTATAAATTAGTTTTGACACTGTTATTTCTTGTCTATTATGCAGGATTTACAGTACTAATATTTATATTTTGAAGTATTGATTGGGATATTGTATTAAAAATATGTATATAAAAAAGGAACAAGGATTAAATTAGTGTCGACGTCCACAAGAACAGTATCGCGTGGAACAAGTAAGCGTATAGCTATATAACAGGTATCCGCACGTCGGCTTCTATTGTGATTATCTCGCGCATCACGCTGCCCGTTTAGTGCGCGTCGTTCTTAACCGCTTGGGCACGGATTTCGTTGAGCTAATTGGTACAGCAATAGGTTGCTAACCTGAAAAAGAAGACAAGAGGAACAAATAAAAGCCGACGTGTTCAAAAAGCTGGAAAGCATCCGAAGGACACTAAAAGTAAAGAGCGTCCGGCAAATGAGAAAGCAAGGCCTGGTAATAGAGGTCCAAAACCAGAAGAACGTCGAGACCATCCAGGGCTGCGAATTGAACAAAATAGGCCTGGTAGTGGAGAGATCAAAGAAGATAAATCCTTATGTTATAATATACAACATAGAAAGGGAGTATAAAGAAAGCGATCTTAAAGAAGACCTGATCAGAAAGAACTTCGACTTCGTTTCTGACTCAGATTTTGAGAAGCTTAAAAGCGCAACTAGATTTGTGCATTGTTTTAAAAACAAAGATGAAAGGAAGGTGAACTGGATTGTACAGTTACCCGCAAAGCTCTTCAGGAAGCTAACGAATACTGGAAGAGCGTTGTTGATGTGGAGGATTTACAAAGTAAGTGAATATATGAACATAACCAGACGCTACAAGTGTCATGGTTATGGACACATTGCAAAGGCATGCAGCATACCTGAGCAATTGTGTAGCGTCTACGGCAGTAATGACCATCTTTGAAAGGACTGCCCTAAAAAGAATAACCTCAATGCGTCAATTGCATTAGAGCAAAACGAAAAGACGCAAAGCATGGGGTACACAACACGGACTGCCCTGAGTACAAGCGGTTTATTGATCTATACAACAGCATAAAATGGGACTAAGAGTTGGTCAAATAAACGCCCAAAGATCCGCAGCGGTTGCTGCTAACCTGGAGCTACTAGTAAAAAAAAAAGGGATTGATATTCTTTGTATACAGGAATCCTTCTGTTATAAAGGAAAGGTAAGGGGATATAATTCTCCAAACTTAATAAAAATAGAACCCCAAGACTGCAACTACTCATGGGTAGCTGCGGTAATAAACAAGGATAAGGTGGAGGTTCTACTAAATGTCGGAGAGAAAAATGAACACACATTGTGCTTTAACCCTTTCGCTACGAGCTGTGACTATAGTCACCCAACGATTGATGCTCATTATGTACAATCGGTGACTATAGTAACCCAACGATTGATGCTCGTTATATACAATCGGTTACTATAGTCACCCAACGATTGATGCTCGTTATATACGATCGGTGACTATAGTCATCTTGCGCCTGACGCTCGCTATTTTTATTTTTTGCATACCAACGGTGACTTTAATCGTTTGTTATCGTCATGGTTACCAACCGCAAGTGTTTTGCACTTTGTTTTAGGTTCTGAGATTTCGGACTGCAGTCTTCTGATAGTTTGCAAAAAATTAGCAGTATTTCCAGTAGAAATCGTTTTGAAAACTCATTTTATCCTTTTCAAAATTTGTGCATAGACCAAAGTCTTTAATTGTTCAAGGGTAGACTATCTTTTAGACAGTATATACCGGCCAAAAGAAGCCGATTTGGCATTAAAACGTATGTATTATGCGACTGTAAAACAGGCTACATACTAGGTTCAATCATATATACAGGTAGTGAATCACACATAACGCAGAAGAAATTGGCAAAACAGGAAACATCGTTTTGACGTTTTTGAAACCTTACTTGGGAAAAGGACATACATTGTATGTAGATAATTATTATAGCAGTCCTGCTCTTTTTAATTTTTTACATGCAAATATAACAAATGCTTGTGGGACTGTAAAGCAAAGGCGAAAAGGAATGCCTATAATGGACAAAAAATTACAAAAAGGCGAGATTAATTTTCGGACAACGAGTAATTTGCTGGCCCTGTAATGGCGTGATAAAAGGGACGTTTTCATGTTACACATGGACATTTTCCATAATAACGAATTTATATGTACAGGAAAGAAAAATTATGAAACTCAAGAATTTATACCCAAATGTATAGTGGACTATAATTTGTGACAAATGTGATATGGTTGTTAGTTCCATTAAATCCATCAGAAAATCGATAAAATGATATAAGAAGTACTTTTTTCATTTGTTAGACATTGCAGTCTGGAATTCATATTGCTTAGATAAATACAAAATATGCAAAGATATTTATATGGATGGAAATACCACAATGACGAATATAAATACAAACACGCAAAGATATTTATATGGACGGAAATACCACAAAGACGATTTTAGACAAAACGCTCCTAGATCTGCGGATAAATATCCTCTTAGACTTACTGGTAGACATTTCCCGGCGATTTACACTAGCGCGAATATAAAACGAAAAAACGGATTAAGAAAGTGCATTGTTTGTACTCAAAATGGTGTGCAAACGCATTACCAATGTAAGACATGTGACGTAGGACTTTGTGTATACCCGGTGTTTTGAAACTTTCCATACGAAATTACATTATTAAATTATATTTTCTAATTGTATTCTGTGATAATTTTTTCACCTTTTCCTTTCTACAGGCGATATTGCAGATCTTCCGCAAGTGCACACTTTCGGCACAGCGACTCGTTCAGTGGGAGTAGCGCGCCGAAAAATCGGCCCGTAGCGAAAGGGTTAAAGGAGACATCAAAAACGAAATAACCAGGTACGCAGATAAAGTAATCGCAATAATAAATAAGTGGTGTAGTTTGCACCGATTAACGATAAGCAAATCTAAGATAGTTGCAATGCTTGTAAAGGGCAACCTGAACGAGAAACACCTAAATTAAAATAAAAAATGCAATAAAAATAGACGGCAAGAACGTTAAATACGCCGACAGTCTCAAATATCTGGGAATAATAATAGACAGAAAGATGAACTTCAATGCACATGCGAGATACCTGCGCAACGCACATGAGACCACTTGTGTTTGTTTCATCAATACTGGTAAGCAACCATTACAAACTGTTAACGAAATTCTTCAATCGAAAGAAACCAATAATATTAATAGAATCCATGAACTTGCATCTAAATTACGTCTTAACCACATCGAAACCGCATATAGAGACCCCATAACTAAAATCGTGCTTATCATGCATATATTCTCACTCAAAAATGATCCTCTGCCTTGCACCAACCTCACTAGCCATTCCATTATCTTGCACTCAGAGAAACCGATCAACATTAAATCATATCGACCACCGGAGATTCATAGATTAGAGATACAGAAACAGGTCAATGAAATGTTAGAAAAAGGCATCATGGAAAATTCAAACTCACCTTTCAACGCCCCAGTATGGGTAGTGCCGAAAAAGAAAGACGCTTCAGGGAAACAGAAATGGAGAATCGTGATTGACTTTAGGAAACTGAACAAACAAACTGACCAAGACGCCTATCCTTTACCAAATTAAACTAATAAAAACCAGAAGAAGGGCCAGGTCCTTCTCAAATTCCAGTGACCAAAATAACTAACGAACAAGGTATGAATGAATATCATAAACCCTGACATACACACGGAAAACAGATTCAGCATTTTTACCGACTGTTTATTTAAAGAACCCCAAACTGAAATCGACAACAAAAAATCCTCCGACCATACATCCACCTCACCAATCATACGCCAATCTAACCACAAGCGTGCAAATCAAAAACCCAATCTATATTCACGGGAACATAAATCATGTAAAACTCTTAGACGCGCTAAAAAACAAATACAGTAACTCATTTCAAGTAAAATACGCCTCGAACAAACTAAAAATCATGTTCCTCAACACAAAAGATTTTTGTAAATTTAAAAAAATCTGTAGGAAGGATAACATTGAATTTCACACATAAGCACAGATAAAACAACAACGGTTGTACTCAAGGGTCTAATACGACTTCCGACCACCAGAATAAAAGAGAGTATCGAGACACAAGGGTTCAAAATAATAAGTTGTACAGAGCTACCAACCCACATGAAATTCCCTATATACAAAATCACATTTACACCAGGGACATCGTTAGTACAAATAAACCACGTTAGGTATATCGAAAACATCAAGATCTATTGGGAAAAGTACAAAATCACGGGTGGTGCAAAAACAAAGCTACCGGTGCTACAGGACAAAGAACTCAACCAGCAGCTCTACACAGACGCAGATAAAGCCGAAGGACTGGCAGGAAAATTTTACGATATACACGAAACAGCAACCACCCAAATATCACCAATAGAGAATCAAATTAGTCTAAAAATGGCAAATACTAACTCAACTCTTGAAGTCCCACCCGACAACATACACTGCACGCCGGCTTCATTACAAAAAATAATCAAAAACCTCCCTAACAACAAAGCACCAGGCCAGGATGGTATCACTGCCGAAAAACTCAAAAACCTCCCAAAAAAACCGCTAATACAGCTCTATTACATATACAAAGCCTATTTCCGAACAGCCTATTTCCCCGCCTCATAGAAAGTCGCAAAAAATCATTCCGGTTCCAAAACCCGGTAAACAAAGAGACGATATAACAAGCTATAGACCCATCAGCCTCCTTGATCTTTTTGGAAAAATCTTGGAAAAAATAATTCAACAACAGATACAAAGGCACATACGGCAACTAAACTTGATTATCCCTCAACAATTTGGATTTAGGACAAAGCACTCCGCCATGCACCAACTACAACGGGTCACCGAACATATTATAATGGAAAAAAAACAACCCAATTAGTTCTCCTGGACCTCAACGAAGCATTCGACTCAGTCTGGCATGATGCTCTAGTCACCAAACTACAGGATATCAAACTACCAAAATCTTGACAAACACAATCAGAAGCTACCTACAAGACAGAAAATTCTATGTAACAATCAACGGAACTAAATCCGCGCACAAGCAAATTCCAGCAGGGGTACCACAAGGATCGATCCTGGGACCACTTCTATTCACAATCTACATACCACACACTGACAAAACCCACCTAGCCATCTTCGCAGATGACACGACGATTTATGCATCATCCTGGAGTCCCACTCCACAAAGTACTTACAAGACCACCTCGACAAAATACAAAACTACTTCACAAAATGGAAACTAAAAATAAACTCCACCAAGACTCAAGCAATAGCCTTCCCAAACCGAAGAGATAACAAAGTAGATAATATAAACATAGCTGGACAGAAAGTTCCATGGGTAAACATTGCTAAATATCTAGGAATCATCCTAGACTCCAAAATCACATGGGCTCCTGCTATCAAAGAGAGCTAGTCTGGCATATCCAGCGATGCATAGAATTATACTCCTCATATCTAAGAACAGTAAACTAAAAACTGAAATAAAACTGAATCTATACAAAATCTGCGTCAGACCAATAATCATTTACGGACATCAAATATGGGCAGCAGCGGCTAACACACACTTGAACAAGATCCAAATAATTCAAAACATGTTCCTGAGGATAATACTCAACAAACCCTACGACACACCTATCAAAACCCTTCACAAAATCGCTAAAATCCCCACCAAAAAATACATCAAAAAATCTCTAGCCGGATCATACAACGAAAACCACCCAAACCCTCTCATCGCCACCATCGGAAAATACAACACCCATGACATTCCTTTAAAAATCAAAACTAGATTACCAAAACACGCACTGGATTAAGGAACCAAAACACACCACACTTCATTCTCACATATCATGAAACGCAGGTTTTTTGAAAATTTTCTCCTGCAACACGAATAAACACGGATAACAAACAAACAAACCACTCATGAAATCATTGAACAAAAGCTAACCAACAATGTTAAATGCAGGTACAAGGCTTCAAGGAAACCCCAGGGACTGCAATTAGGAAAAACCAGCAAACACAAAAAAAAAGAAAAGCCCTTCTTCTTTTTCTTAGTCTTCGTTCGCTACCATCGAAGCTCTGAGTGTACTGTGATAAGAAAGCCAAAGTTTGTATAATTCAAAATATATATTTACCGAAGAATTCATACGAGTCTAATTATTTATGTGAGAACCCGTGGTAGGATTCTACTTTACTCTACTACGTGTTCCTACAAAGTGGTGACAGCCCGACGTGATTAGAACCGCGAAAAAAATAAAAAAAATCCGAAATCTAAATACTAATATTTGATAAATTAACGTGAGACACTCGAAATGGCCCACATCGCGATCCCCTATCCGCACGCGGTCGGGAAACAGTCAAGAGGAGCCACGTGCTCAGCAGGAAGAGGACAACTGCACAACGGCACTAGCATTTAAGTCAGTCCCGCCGTTTATGAAGGAGGATCCAGAGTTCTAGTTTATTCAGGCGGAAGCAGCAATGAGAACGGCAAAAATCGCCAGCGACGAGGCAAAATATTTTTTCCTGCTGTCGCAACTCCGCCCCGAAATATTGAGATACGTAGCGGACGTTGAGGACACCGCCTGCTTTGAACAAATACACCTTAAAGCAGCGGTTATTAGACCTGTACGATCAAACGGAAGAAGCAAGATCCCGTCAACTCCTGAAGACATGCAGGATGGGTGACGAAAAACCATCCCACTACGTGCACAGACTGAGGAGTTTGGCGGAAGGAAGACTAGCGGAAAGTGTGCTAACATCAATGTTCCTAGAACAAGTGCCCCAAAACCTGCACGATATTTTGGTGGCAAGTGAGAGCACAGACCTAACGAAGCTGGCCCAAATAGCAGACAAGGTGATGGAGACGCCACACGCGGCGCCGATAACCCATGGAAACATGGCGACTTCCTTTCTGCAACAACGATCGGAAAGGCAACCGGAAGCGCCAGGAATGGACGCGAGCCAGTTCCTAGCGTCTCAAATGGCGGAAATCCTGAGGCGATTGACGGCGTTGGAAATGCGAGAAACGCGGCAGGAGCAGCAACCCAGATGGAGAAGCGGTTCAGGGGCCCGTTCCAGATCTCGTTCCAGTTCCGCAAGACGTACCACGGGCCACTGCTACTACCACCGACGCTTTGGAGCAAAGGCGTACAGATGCATACTCCCATGCGCGTGGAAGCCAAAACCGGGCGAAACTAATATCCCCGCAATCGCACCGCCGGCGGAAAACTAACTGCACGCCCCACAGCCCTGACGACGCTGGGTGGCGTGGAAAGTAGTCGTCTAGTAATTTCCGATTACAAAAATAAAATTGCTTTTCTAATAGATACGAGGGCCGACATATCTGTATTGCCGCTTAGTTCGGCAAAAGGAAATGTCGCCCCTTCTCCTTTCAGTATCTACACAGCAGATGGTACATCGATTCCGATCTTAGGCGAAACAACGCTCACTCTGGACTTCGGACTGCGACGACCATTTATCTGGAAGTTTACCGTCGCGAAGGTCCAGCAACCGATAATTGGCGCCGATTTCCTGAAACATCACGGTCTTCTGGTGGACTTGAGAATAAAAGAATTATGGACGACTACACCAAAATCCACACGGTAGGAGAAATTAGCACGACCACCCAACAATCAATCTCAACCATAGGAAACAGACTATACGAAAAATACAATACGTTGTTGAGGCAATATATCGACGTAACAAGACCTACACAAGGACAAGGACCACCGAAACATAAGGTACGTCATCACATAACCACCACAGGTAGACCATGTGCAGAACCACCTCGTAGGCACCGGACAAATTCAAGGTAGCACACGAAGAATTCCGGATAATGATGGAGCAGGGAATTTGCAGTCCTTCCTCCAGCGCTTGGGCCAGCCCGCTGCACATGGTTCCGAAGAAAAATGGCGGTTGGAGGTTATGTGGTGACTACCGCCGACTAAACGCACAGATGACACCGGACAAATACCCGATACCACATCTGCACGACTTCGCGCACGCACTGGACGGTAAGAATATCTTCTCGACATTAGACTTAGAGAAAGCCTACCACCAGATTCCGATGGCATCAGAAGACCGTGAAAAGACAGCAGTAATCACGCCATTCGGTCTTTTCGAATATAACGTCATGCCATTCGGATTGAAGAATGCGGCACAAACCTTCCAGCGTTTCATGGACGTCGTTCTCCGGAGTCTCGATTTTGCATTTTGCTATATTGACGATGTATTAATAGCCTCCTCCAACGAGTCCGAGCATCAAGAACACTTACGACAGGTATTGGAGCGACTGCAGCAGTACGGTATCAATTAACACCGCTAAATGCGGTTTTGGAGTACAGTACTTGAGGTACCAAATTGATAAAAAGAGAGCCAAGCCTGTACCTGAAAAAGTAGAAGTAATATTAAATTTCCCAAAGCCGGAGACCATAGTAGAATTAAAGCGTTTTCTTGGGATGGTCAATTTCTATCGGCGATTTATAAGAAATGCCGCTGCTGCACAAGCTCCACTGACAGAGCTATTAAAAGGAGCGAAAAAGAAGGACAAAAGACCTATCAACTGGACGGAACAAACAGACTATGCATTTAAACTATGCAAAGACTCGTTGGCGGATGCGGCACTACTGGCCCATCCAAAATTAAATACTCAATTACAACTGATAACTGACGCATCTGACTTAGCTTGTGGGGCTGTACTCCAACAGAAGTGAACGGTTTGTGGGAACCCATAGCGTTTTTTTTCAAAGAAATTTTCACCAGCGGAAACAAAATATAGTACCTACGATCGTGAACTGACTGCCGTCTACAAAGCGGTACGACATTTTAAACATTTATTAAAAGGACGAGACTTCACGATACTGACGGACCATAAACCGCTGACGCACGCGTTCCTACAAAAATCCGACAAAGCCTCACCAAGACAGATACGACAGTGGACAATTTACGACAAAAATGACCCACATTCCGGGATCTGACAATCAAGTGGCAGACGCTCTATCGCGGCTGAACGTTATCAGTATGCCAGTCGTGATGAGCACAACAGAACTTGCCGAAGAACAATCAAAGGACCCCGAATTAACGCAAGTCTTACAAAGTACAGTCCTACAAATTAAAAAACTAAAGATAATACAAACGAAACAGTATTTTGTGATATCCACCGACATAATTAGGCCATATATCCCAGTAGTGCTGCGAAAGAAAATCTTTGACAGCGTACACAATTTCGCCCATCCCACAGCGTACACAATTTCGGCCGAGCCACAAGACACTTAATCGCGAAAAGATTCATATGGCCGGGGATGAATAGAGACATCTTACTTTGGGCAAGAAATTGTATAAACTGTCAAAGAAGTAAAATTGGTAGACACGTCAAAAATCCGTCGAGCCATATTACTGTTCCAACATATCCACATCGATATAATAGGACTACCGACAGTCGACAATTATAAATACTGTTTAACAATAATAGACAGGTGGCCTGAGGCGGTCCCGCTAAAAGAAATAAGCGCGGATACCATAGCCACAGGGATCTATGCAAATTGGATCGCGAGATTTGGAGCCCCGGCCACAATAACAACAGACCGTGGAGCCCAATTCGAATCGCAAATATTCAATTCGTTAGCAAAACTAATTGGATGTAGGCACATCCGCACAACTGTGTATCACTCTCCATCCAATGGAATGATTGAAAGGTGGCATAGATCTCTGAAGACGGCAATTTGTTGCCACGAAGACAAAAATTAGTTGGAAGTACTCCCAGCAGTAATGCTTGGTTTGAGGAATAGCTATAAACACGACATACAGGCAACCGCGGCTGAAATGATATACGGTACACGCCTTAGAATGCCAGGAGAATTTTTCGTGGACACAGAGACACATACGGACTTTACCGTCGACAAATTTAGAAGACACATGCAAGAGAATCGACCAAGACCAACGCGACATCATTCAAAACGCTCATATTTCATTTTTGATAATTTATTCAAGACAACGCACGTATTTATAAAAGTGGATCATGTAAGGCACCCTTTGGAACAGCCGTATTCTATCGCGTGATCAAACACATTTCTGATACTGTATTTCTAATAGATGTAAAAGGAAAGGATACCCAATAATACAAAGTAAGATAAGACAAGTAGGGAAATCAATACAAAAACTCTAGACCATACTACACCGACGAACAGAACGGTGACTGATAAACGCGATCGGTTCAATATCCAAAACCCTATTCGGGACATTAGACAACGACGACTTAGACCTAATCAATAAAAATATAGACGAACTTTTTGATGACCAGAACAAAATCAGCAGCGTAATACAAAACCAGACTATGTTATGCTAAAACAAATATTCGCGGATGATCACTTTGAAAGTCTCACAGCCAAGCCAATAAAACAATCTACCAGACTACAGGAAACACAGAGCACTCTAGCGTTTGGCGAAATGCTGTTCACTTTAGAAATATTATATTCAGAATTTACGAGTAACATCAATGAATTTTATAACATCATAATACTAGGGAAAAAACGGAATAATCGACACGATACTCATTGACATAAATCGATTTATACAAGCATACAAAAAGGTAACCAAGACTAAATCCGTTACAATTCCCGCACAAAAAGAAAATTTTCAAACTATTATAGACATCAGTAAACTCACAGCAATAATAGTCAACAACACAATCATCTACAAAATCGAGATACCTATGTTAGAGAAAAACGAATGGACCATCATTAAATATTACCCTATACCGTGTGGATTTGGTTTTATATTTGTGGATTAGGTTTTATGTTTGTAGATTTGACTTTAAGTTATATGTGTGTGAATGTATATGAGAGTCGAATGGAGACAATGGCATGAGAGTATTGCGTAGTAGTACGCCTTTGTTCGAAAGCGAAGAAACAAGTGTCTATTTGCGAGTTAGAGTTAAGAGAGTAATATTGATGAGTGAGAGAGTGATTTCATATGAGAGAGCTGTTAAACACATTGTTCTATTTTCTTATATATTATACGTGTTAATTAAAAGTGTATGTTTCATTTAATTCACTCACAATTTGTAGAAGAGCATGGTTGTTGCAAAAAAAAAAAAGATAGAAAATCACAATTGGTAGCAGAGCGTCGTGGTTGCGAAAAGAGAAAAAAAAAATAGAAATTGGAGATACGGAATACGAAAAAACCTGAAAGAATGAAATGATTGGGACAATGATAATTACACAGCAAGATCGATAATGATTAAAACGTGAGTAAAGCCCAAATATTAAAATACAGCAATGAAAAAAACGCCAGAAAATTGTGGACAAGAATAAAATTAGATATGGCGGCTGAAAGCGAAGAATAAAAGACGAGGTCGCTTAATGAGCTAACGAATTTAAAAATGGAGAAAAATGAAATCGTCGACATGTTCATAAACAAGGCAGAGGCGTTAGCAAATAAATGTATACAACTAGGAAAAAATGTCGAATAATTTGAACTTAAAATGTATATTTTGAGAGGACTTCGACCAGAATATGATTCAAATGTTCAAGTCTTGTGTTCGACGAAAATTTGTGGGATATTGTAGTTACACAAACAAATCTTCACGCGCAACAAATAATGAGCAATGGGAGAAGAAGGAAACTGAATGATGGTTGGTTTCCAGTTACCAAGGATGAAATGATGGCCTATTATGCGCTGTATATTTTAATGACGCAAGTCAAAAAACCAAATATACAAATGCATTGGTCTTGTAACGCAAATCACTTGAGTCCGGCTGGCGCCTGGAGGTATGGGGCTCACGAAGTGTCACCCGACACATCGTTCTGGGAAATCCCCTTCTACCATACTTTGCCGAAAAACTGTATGGAAAACGTAATAAAGTTTTCAGTTTAGTTTTGTCCTTCATTTGGTTCACATCTTTTTATTTACGTCCTGCACTCGTTCCTTTTCTACAGATAGTAATAATAAGGGTTGAAGTGACATCCGGATAAAATAATTCGAGGTGTCTTTTTCTTTGTTTTTGGAAATTTAGCAAGTTTAAAAGGTGTTCTCTTCAGTGCGGTTCCTGCTCCACGGACGGGAATCATTTTATCGCTGTTTTTTTCTTTCCTCCCATTTCGACACCGTCACACCGTGACAATCTAATCGGGAAGTGCTAGAAACACCTATATTTGGTAAAAGTAATGCCGCTCAAAAGATTTACACAGATTTCACGATGTTTGCATTTCTCAAGTAATGTAACGGATTGCAACAACGATCGCCTTCACAAAATAAGACCAATTGTTAATTACTGGAACAACAAATTTAATATGATTTACACGCCGGATGAAAACATAAATATTGACGAGTCATTAATGCGATATAAAGGTCATTTAATGTATAAACAATTTAACCCATCCAAACGAGCCAGGTTTGGATTAAAAATATATAAACTGTGTGAAGCAAGTATCGGATTCTGCAGCAAGTTTAAAATATATACTGGCCAAGACAAAATTCACATAAATGATAGTGCATCAGAAAATGTTGTAATGGAATTGGCAGAATCGGTACTAAATAAAGGATACACATTGTGCATTGACAACTGGTACTCCTCACCCGCTCTTTTTCTAAGATTGCACAAACAAAAAACAAATGTTATCAGCGCCGTGCGTAATAACAGAAAAAATATGCCGAAGGATCTTTCAACAAACAAGTTAAAACCAGGAGAACATCTACATAGAACGTGCAACGCACTCAGTCGTAAGAACGTGCAAATTATTAGCTTTAAGATGGAAGGACAGACGTGACGTCTATATGTTGACAACGGTAGAATTGACCGAAGTAAGGGACAAACGTGATAGGACGAAATTGAAACCCACTGCGTGATTGAGTACAACAAAGGAATGGGTGGTCATTGACCTAAATGACCAAATGTTGGCATGTTTCTCCATTATGAGGAAATACCTCAAGGGTTATAAAAAAACTCTTTTTTTACATGTTTGACATGACCCTATTTAATACATACATTATGAACAAACAATTACAAGATCCAGGAAGACAATCATACGTGAATTACAGAATAAATATAGCCGAGGCAATTTTAAAATATGTACAGCTACCTGACTACACAAGAAGCGTGAAATTCGCAGAAAATCAAACACCAACACGCTTACAGGCACAATATTGGGCTCATTTCGCGAAATATATTGATGAACCTCCTAGAAAGCAACACCCAACTAGAATGTGTAAAGTGTGTTATAAACACAAAAAAAGAAGCGAAACGACTTGGGAATGCACAAAATGTAAGGTGGCTTTGCATTTACCGGAATATTTTATAAAGTATCATATCATGCAGGATTATTAATTTTAGACTTGTAAGTATTTCTCAATTTAATAATTTGTTGATATTTAATTGTTTATTTATCTTTTGCTTTTCATTTTTAGGTCTCGTGATTGTGACATAATCTGAAAATTTATTTCAGTTCGAATATTACTGCCGTGGCTTTACTTTCACTTATTTGTATTCCATTATTAATTAATCATATTATTATTAGAATTTGTTCTAATCATATATAATAATTAAAATATTTTTTAAAAGTTTTTGATTCAAATTCATTTGAATTTCACAAGAGCTTCATCGCGTGAAGTAAATACGGGTGCGGCTATCTCGCACTCAGTCGTAAGATTCGTGTTTCAAATTCCGACACTCGGGCTCCGCCGTTCGGCTCCTTCCCCGACCATTCGGGCGCACGGGTTTGGCACGGCTTTTTCCGAGTTTCAGCGTAGTGCAAGGGGTTATATTGCTGTTATTCATATGATTTTCAATAAGTATTGAAGTACAATTGGCATTACATTACTCTCCCTTTCTCCCGCAATACGCTGCATTTTGAATTTTTTAAATATCATTCTTAGTTTGGTTTTTATGGGCTTTTTCCCAAACCTTAATAAATTCGTCAAATTCTTCAAATTCTGCGGCGCACTCGAGGGAAAAAAGGGAGGGGAAGAAAATAACAAGTCCGGCAGGGGCGAAGGATAAAGGCAGACGGGTAGACAGTGAGACAACCTGCTATCGTTGCGGGAGAGTGGGACATAGAAGAGCTAATTGCACGGTTATCGCGAATCCGGGGAGAAATGATGTTAAAGACGACCGAAAAAACGACTGGAAGAGAGGTGAGAGGAGCGTCCCGAACGCGATGGATAGGCGGAATTTGACGAGATGTAGGTATTGTGGCAAAACGGGTCACATAGAAAGGCAATGTTTGAAGAAACAGAAGGAAGAGAATCCGGGGGCTTGACTAGGCGGGGGGGCAACGTCGTTGGACCGGGCAGACCACGGCCCAAGTGCTTGGGATAGGATCTAATGAGGTAAACAAACCGCTAAAGAAATGTATCCTAGGGGAAGAAGAAATTCTGTGCACGGTAGATCTGGGTAGTGATTGTTCGCTCGAGAGAGTGTTGCTCGACGGCTGAAACTAACATTCAAAAGAACGGATACAACGCTGTCCGGTTTTAATCATTCCCTAGTCGTACCTCTGGCTCGCGCGAAAATAAATGTCAGGATCGACGACATCCCATTAATGATAAGGGTCTTAATCGTTCCGGACGATCAGTTGTCGAAAGAAGTCATCATCGGACGCGATATTTTGAGCAAGCCGGGGGTACAGGCGATATCTGACGCAACCGGGGTGACGTTTACGTTTAATCGATCCAATCAACGGGATGACACATTGGAAGTCAATGTGGTGAACGTCGACGACAGGACAGCGATCGACATAAACGATATCCAGTGCGGGGAACTGGACGAAAAGGATAGGGCGCGTTTAGCAAAACTTTTCAACGACTGCATTTCTTTGAATTTTCGGAAACTGCATTTCTTTGAATTTTCGTGAGCTAGGCAGAACATCCGCGGCAGAGATGAAGATCGAATTGAAAGACGACGAACCGGTCTATCATAAACCTTATCGGCTGTCAAAGAGCGATAGAGAGAAGGTCGCGGAGCTAGTTGCGGATCTGCAGAAGAACGGCATTATTCGGGAGAGCACATCGCCCTATAGTAGCCCCGTAGTGCTCGTTCGGAAGAAGAAATTCGTATGGCGATA